AGCACTGCAAAGCACTCCACACGAGTCAGAGTAACTGGCCTTGGTCAGTGAGGCTGGGCCACTGCTGGAGGCCAGGAGAGCCTGAGAAGAAGTCCTTGTCTTTTTCCTTTTGCCAAACAATATTTAAGGCAAAAAGGATCCCATAACTTGACGTAAAAATGGACATTCCTTGCAAACTAGTACAACCACTATGGAAAACTATTTGGAGGTTTCTCAAACTGCTAAATATGGAGCTTCCATATATATAGCCCAGCAATCCCAGTCCTAGGTATCTACCCAAACGACACAAAAACACTGATTCAAAAAGATACCTGCACTCCCATGTTTATTGCTGCCTTATTTAGAGTTGGAAAGACATGGGAACAGCCCAAATGCCCAAAAGTGGATGACTGGATTAAAAAGATGTGGACAACTATATACCAGAGACATTTTATGGGGCTGGAGTGGGGAATGGGATCAAAAACAGTGGGAGGAGGGAAATGCACTGGACTATGGTGATGGCACAGGGTGATTTGGTGATAGGAAGCCCTCAGGAGATGAAAAAATGCACACAATGACATAAAAATAAATTATATATAATAAACTATTATATACTTTTTAAATGGATATTCCTGCCAGGTACTGAAATGCAGCCTCAGTCATCCCAAGGTTCTCCTAACTTGCCCTAACCGAAGCCTTGACCCTACTGCCGACAGCCTAGGGATGCAGGTCCCTTCTAAGCAACAGAGTCATGCTGGAGGATGTACAGAGACACAGACTCTCACTGTGCCCTGTTGACAATCTGAGCTGTAATTCAGCCAGTTCTCACCCCTCACATCAGTTCAAGCAGCTGCCAGCAGGGCCATGAAGCCCACACGAATAGCACAGTTCATGGGCAGAATTCAAAGGTGTGCATTAAAGCACAACCACCTGCAAAACAAATCCAAGAAGAGCCTTCAGTGCCTCTGACAAAAATGCTGCAGTTGGAAAAGGGCCTCATGCCTGCTCACACAGTCCCCAAGTTCCCCTGGGCACAGGGAAATGCAAACTTTCATGGTGTCTCATAAGCACTGTGCACTAGAGGAAGAGCCAGCAGGCTGGGTTGGATTAAGACACAGAAACTGGTGTGCTCTGCCAGCGAGGCAGCTCACACGCCCGAGACTGAGAACCTGGGCAGCAGGAAAACAAGGGGAATCCTTGCAGATGATGCCAAGATGCCAGGGGCTGCTGCTTCCTCAAGGGAAGAAGGGCCATTCCCTCCCTGCATCTCTGTACTCGTGCTTAGGGAAAGAATTAGACAAGTCAAAAGAAACCAGTCAGCACTGCCAGAGGCTGGAAGAGGGTCAGGTGCAGAGTGAAACGCTTTCACAGTGTGCCTGCCTCCAGGGACTGGATTCCCCACTCTCTACCGGATCTGCAGCAGTGCCTACTGGGCCTTAGGCGCAAGCCTGAAGCTGGAGGGACAAAAGAGCAAAAGGCAGAATAATCCTGAGCAAAGAGGCCCAGGACTGTGATAAATCCTGTGTGAGCAGCGCGGCCGGGGACCTTCTTGGAGAGCCTCCTATCTACCCCCTGCGCTTTCCCAAATAAGCACCCCCAGAGACATCCGGGGAGCCTGCTGTAAGCAGGAGAGGCTGAGCCTGAATCAGGACATGGCTCTCCACTGAGTCCTCCCCGCCCTACACGGCATTGCTGCTACTTCCCAAAGCACCCATACACCAGACAAAAGAAGGGGCACAGGCTTTGAGTCAACCAGATCTCAGTGCTACTCAGTTTCTTTTCCTGTAAACTGGGAACACCCCCCACCCCCCCAATACACCGAAGGACTACTTCTGTGAGAGTCAGAGATGATGTATACACATCATCTGGAGCATGGGTGATAGGTGAGCAGGGCAGCAATTATCTTGCTTTTAGAAGTCCACAGAATCTGCACGCCTGCAGAATATCTGCCAAGAGAAGCTGTCCCTGTAGTCCCTCTGGGGCTTTGGTTTCCACTTTAGATTGGGGTGTCCTAGACAAGAAAGAAATTAAGGGTTCCATCCAAGCCACCACTTTTACTCAGTGTGTAAACCTTGTTTGCTTTAAGACTTATTCATCCACCTACTTCTGAGATGGCATACAATGATTTAAAATTTTCACACACAATGCAAAATTAGAGAATCAAAATTAAAACGGAAAGTGAGCCTGGGGGATGTGGGAGGCAAAGGCTGGGACCCTGGAAGCAGAGGCCGAAGGGGAATGTGCTGGCTTGCGCTGGTCCTATTTTGTGCCTGACTGAAGAAAGCACCCCCATGCAAACCCGCACAGCCAGGAGGCACCCAGATAAGCACAAATTTGTATGTCACTTCTTTAATCTGACAGCAAGGATGAACAGCGCTATAAGTTAAAGCTGTGATGACGGGGGAGGATGACATTTGCTGTAAACAGGTGATTTCAAGTGAAAGGGGAATAGGTTGATACGTACCCAGATGTGAACGGACACCACAAAGGAGAAGAAAGGTGCAGGGAGAAGCTGGGGGTTCATAAGCAGCCTAATTCCGAGCAATTGCTACCTTCCCAGGGGCTCCCTACTGAAAGGGCATAGTAGAGAATAAGAAAATGTCAACAGAAAGCCTCTCACCCACAAAACGCAGGTCACATTTTTATATCTGCTAAAACGTTTTCTGAAAGGCTGGAGTCTTGAAGTTTTCAAAGGGAGAACATGTTCACAGGTATGTAATAGCATGGAGGTGCTGTGTCTGACTGTGTGGGTCAAACAGTTTCTCCAGGGCCTGTGCTTCCAGCATTCTAGCATGTTCCCCCTGACAAATCTATTTAAGCAGAATTAATGTAAGGGGACATTGTAAGCCTGCCACTGGGATCTTTCTTCCAAGCCTTAAAGATGGGTTCTTGCCCTGAAAAAATGAAATTCAACAAATTCTCAAGATAGGGAGATGAGTGGGAAGGGGTGCCCTATTTCTCTGTGTCCCTGACAAGAAGTGGAATCTGGCCAGAAAGTCTGAGAAGACGCCTCCTACAAGGAATGTCAGGATGCAGTCAAAAATAAGTTTTCTGGGCCCTCCCTGGTGACACAGCGGGTTAAAGCACAGCACTGAGAATCTAAAGCCAATTCCACATGAGTTTGATCCCCGCCTGCCCCGGAGGTGACCACATGGCGTGGCAGACCTCTCCTGGCCCACCTGCTGCTCAACAGTGGGCTTCGTCCATCTGCCTGTTCTGCTCCCCACTCTGTCTCTGGTGAATCCTCTCATCACCCCTGAGCCTCTGGCCTGTGCCCCAGTTCTGTATGCATAAATAAATAAATCTTTAAAAAAAAAGTAAGTTTTCCTTCTGGGAAACCTGTACTCCTGTTTGAAGCACCATTTACAATATCTAAAATGCAGAAATGTCCAACATGCCCCAAAACAGATGACTGGGTGTGATGTGGTATATAAACATGTGGAATACTACTCAGCAATCAAAAAAGATAAATTTGTGCCATTTGCAGCAACATGGATGGAACTGGAAGGGATTATGCTCAGTGAAATAAGGCAGAAGGAAAAATAAAAACATCAGATAGTTTCACTTATAGGTGGAACATAGGGGAACCAGATAAAGAATTAGGATAAACACAAAAGTCACAGATAAACCATAGATCTGAGGCTTCCAGCAGGAGAGGGGAAAAGAAAGGGGCCAGAACAGGGGGAGGGACGAGCACAGAGGACGATGGACAATGTGGGGGAAAGTGGGGACTATACCTTAGGGGAAAAATCAAACATTGTACAAAAATGAACAACTATGTAAGAAAATTTTTTTTTTTTTATTTTCTTTCTGAAACAAATCCATAGCGTCTATTTTGTGATGCATTTGTAAGATTCAGACACTCTAGATGTCTTCCATCTGGCTTCCCTGGCCTATACACGGGGCCTGAGTCACGGCACTTGCTCTGGCCAGCAGCGGGGAAGGGACGTCGTCCTCCGGCCGCCCTGCGCAGGGAGCCACCAGGGGAAACACCCTCTCAGGGCCCTCGGAGACAGCCACCACCAGCAGAACCACAGCGGGGCTGAGAAGACTGGCTGCAGCAAACTGTCCTCGTCCTTGTCCCCTCTGCCTGCATTCTGCTCTGCTATGTCAGACAACGGGGGTCTCTTATCATCCTAGTAAGGATGGCGAGGAACAAGGGTCTGCGAGGCTCTGAAACTGGCCAGCTGAGTCAGAAACCATGGAAGCAGCTGCCAACCTGCAGCCCCTCCAAGCTGAGTTACAGCCTCCTCACCCACCCTCCCTCAAGTGTGAGCATCCCCACCACTGCTTGTGGCTCAGCCCCTAAACTGTCAAGACACCATTACCAAAGACGCATTCTCTGAGGGCTGTCATGCGAAACTTTTAAGATATGTGTTGGAACAGCAAATTCAAAAGCGATTTTGTTGCTGCTGCTGTTAGGTTGTTCTGAGAGTAGAAAATTATTTTAAGAATGAGTTATTACCATTTATATATCTTGCTGAGATTGGAACCTCTCAAGGCATGAGTTCATTTCTGACCTAAGTTTGTGTCCTCGCCCTGATTCCTATATCACAGAGAAAGCAAGAGGAAAAGAAATTGCTGTGCAACCAATGATAATGTGCAATACTCCCTCAGCTGGATCCTCTAAGAGAGCAGTCTTTAAGGTTGACCAAAATTGGGCCAGAAAGCTCCACAAGCGTCTTTGCACATCATTTGATCTTTCTTTTTTTCCCCCCTGAAAAGAGGCAAAACAGCCAAAACATAAACACAGAACAGCTGTCTTTTGGCAAAGACAGTCTCCTGCAGCTCCCAGCCGCACCCTGCCACACAGACACTCACCAGCCCCGATCCACCCCTGAGCTCCAGCTGACTTGCAGGCTGTCAGCTCCCCAAGAGTCCACTGACTCACCCCTGATGTGAGAGTGGACAGGGACCATGTTGGGTGGCTCATAATCTGCCCTGCCTGGCAGGAAAGGCCAACACCCACACGGATACTTTCTTGACCTCCTGCCCGGGGACAGGAGCAGAAAAGAAATTACCTTGCAGACAGCTGCCTGGAGCACTGCATCAAAGCCCCCCTCCGGGGCATCTCGGTTCCGGGACACCCTCTGTTTCCGAACTTCCTCGTTGAAGCTGTCAACTCTGTCTGTGAGAGGCAGCAGATGACGGAACCCAAAGGAGGGGACACAGTTTGGAAATAACTTGTAGCTAGAGAGAAAGAAGAGAAGAGTCATTGCCCATCAACTCTACATCGTCAACCACCAAGTACTCTGCAGCCACGCAATGTCTTCAGGAGCCCTGACAAGTGTCTACGCAGCACCTGCTACCTGTCCCTGTACATGGGAAACCTGAGCTACAGTGTTCCTACTCTACAACATGAAGCCCTGCAGGCAAGACAGCCCATACCAAGCTAAAAGTGAATGAAAGGACTTTCATCCAAGGGGAGGAGAGATAACAGGTTGGGGGGGCTGGAGGTGGTGGGGCACAGTCAGAGGAAGAGGTCCCCGAGGAGCCCAGATGCCGTGAGAGATGGGACGGTCAACGCGTGGGCCAGGCGGCACAGAGGGAAGCTGAGCAATGTCGAGTGAAAGCCATGTGCAGGTTACCCTGAGACCAGCTTCTCACTTGAACTCTGCTGCTGTCATGTGACAAAGGGTCACAGAACCTTCCTGTCAACTCAGACCACCAGGCCATGCTGGCACGAGAGCAAGCACTCAACGGAACAGGAACTTCTCCCTTATAAATACCACAGTGATAAATAAACTACCAGGTCTCCTAGATGCAACAGAAATCAACTAGGCAATGACCACCTTCAAATGGGAAATTGTATCTGGAAGTCTGGTGAAAGAAGAAAGCACAGCATTTCAAGAGCAGGTTCATGCCATGTTTTCCTCCTGCGACACTAAGCGAACTCATCTTTGGTCCACAGTAGAGATCCCAAATGACCCACTGCTAGAGGAAGTTAGAGCTCAGTTACAACTCTAGCAGTGTCAGCATGATATACAGCTACTGAAGTAGGAAGAGAGGCCTTAACGTTGTCTCATAAGCGGGTTCACTAGATAAACAGGAAAGGAAGAGTGTCACAGTCACAGCAGAGTGTACGCAAGAGCCTGGGGCAGGAGGGAACATGGAGAACCCAAGGCAGAGAGCCACTGGAGCGACATGCAGGAACGGAGAGCAGAGGCTGGCAAGGCAAGCTAGGCCAGACTGCGCAGGCTGAGGGAGCCTCACTTTCAGAACCCAAGATGAAAAACAAGCAGTAATTAACAGAGAGGCCTGACAGGAAGGCTGCAGCATCCAATTCAAACCATGTGTGTGGTAAGGGAAACAGGCTAGGCAGCTGCGAGGAGGAGCCTGCCTGACTGACAAGAAGTGGCCCCACCGGGCAGGCCCAGACAGACTCCCTTCCTCTGCACAAGAAGGCAATTTTTGGCTTTCTAAGAGGCCATTCTGCTCTCCCTGGGGAACTTGTGACTGCTCTGTCCGCCAGTCTCTCCAACAAGCTGGCTCTGACGGAGTCAACCCAGCGGCCATTACAGCCACAGATCCCTCTAGAAGGGGGCAGCCACTAGTCTCCCCCCTTGTCATTCCTTTGTTATGCTTCCCCCCCTCCTTCAAAATCTTCACCCACACTTTGTGCTGAGACAGATCAGACTCTTGTATAATCTGTGCCTCAGTCCACCCAAATGTTCCATTCCGCCTCAATTTGCCATAAAGAACGAGAGGGACATGACATTCCCAGTTGGAAAACGGGACAGAGCTGAGGTCCCATATTCAACAGTCTGACAAACGGTGGCCCAAGAGGAGCTAAACATACATAAACCCTCACTGCCCTCTCTCTTGCGCACTTCTGCGTGGCTCTGTTCCAAGATTTAGGGCTTGAGCTGAGTGTTTATTACTGTGGTGGATCAGACTGGTTGAAGAGAAGAACGGAGTAACAACTGCTGTTCAGTGATACAGGCGCAAAGCCTGTGAAACAGCTAAATCTGTTTTCATTCCTGTTAAGCAGGAACCAGAAACCACGTTTGGCAGAAGGAAGCTTTCACTGCAGAGAGTTGACTATAAGCAACTGAGTTCCTCTTAGTGAGAAGACAGTGGCTGTGCCACACAGAACTTGGCCACCGTCTCCACAGCCACTAGATTAGGATGTCTCCTGTGACTAGCTATTTAATGCCTACCAGGAAGTGGTTGAGTCACCTGAGAACTGGCTGTTTGGGGGTCTTGTGCCAGGATATACGCTTCCCTGTGTCTGTGCTGTGTAGGGTCACGTTCAGGTAGTTGCTGAATGAAAAAGAAAAGATATATATGCCTAAAGAGCCCGGGGGAGCATGTGTGTGTATAAAAAGTGACTCTAATACAAAGACGCCAGGTCTAGGTAAATCCAGAAAACCAACCAATGCTTTGGGACAATACTGTGGACTGAGATGACATGGAAAGAGCTCCCCTCTCTAAGCATACTGAACTGCTGGGTGAAATACATGTTAACAGATATTAACATGTAGCCAGGGTTGGAAGCTTAATTAGCAGGGAAACCATTCAACAGGTGAGTGGATTTGAGAGAGGCGGGGGGCGGGCGGGAGCTCTTGCCACAGAGCTCCCCAATGCGCCAGGCCTAACAGGAACTGGAGTGCTGGGGCAGGAGTCTGACAGGGACAGGTGAGGAGCCTCAGGCCCCTGCAAAGCCAAGTACTGGCACAGGGCTCTCTGCATAAAGCTGAGTGCAACCAAGAGCTGCCCTATCACCAAAATCAAAACCAGAAAAATCCCAGCCACTGCCCTGGGAAAGAAGCAAGGAAGATTCATTCTGGAACAAGAGCAAGATGACTCACCCATCAAATGTGCAGCTTGCCCTTAGCAAGTTAGAATTCACTACTTTTACCGTGGAAAAAACCCCAAACTCAGAGCTAGAGCATGCGGGCAACAGCAAAGATAGGAGCACCCTGCACGCCGAGGCCCTGTAACCCTCTGATAGCGAACCTCTGACAAAGGGCAGCTAGTGAAATGTTACAGACCCCAGGAAAAGCAAGCCACCATGAAGGAATGTCAGCAATTTCAACAAACTGAAGCATGTGAAGTTCAAAAAACAGATAACAATGATGAGAAGTTCTTCAAAACAAGGGTATTTAAAGGACTCAAGGACAGGAAGACATAGAGTCCAGACATGGGGCAGGGGGAGAGCCAGACGTTCCGAGTCAAATAGCATATAAAACCAGAGCCTGAAAACCAAATAGGAAGCATAGAAAAATGTAGTCACTGAGATTCAAAAATGAAATGTCAATATATGGATTACATAACTGAAGAAAACCCAGCAAACTGGAATGTCCCAAGTATGTACAAGGGGAAAAAAGAAAAAGGCAGAAATTGCGGGAGAAAAATTATTATGAGAAGCTCCAACACCTGCCTAGTAGTGTTGGAGAAAAAATCAGGGATAACATCTAGGTTTTTCAAAAATGAAGATATATTCTCAGATTAAACAAGCAGACCAAGTCCTGAGCAATGCAAATGAAAGTCATCCAATCTAGATGCGCTGGCGTGCAAACATCACAACAGGAAAAGCAGAGAACAATATTAAAGTCAACCAGAGAAGAGGAAAATGACAGACAATAGACTTCACATCAGCCACAAGATACAGCAGAAGACAATGTCAAGTGGGGAAGGGTACTGTGACTCCTTGGAATAAATACACAAAGGAAAGGCAAGAATATAAATGTAGTATCTCATTTGCAAAGATTTTTATATGACTTATATTTCCTGTTTAGTATGTGTATATGGTGAGAACACATATTCTCTCAGCCACTTTTGAAAACAGTGTGGAGGTTCCTCAAAAATTGAAAACAGAACTACTTCGGGATGCAGCGATTAATTCCACTGCTAGGTATCTACACACAGAAGATGAAAACAATTGTCAAGTTATGGAAACCACCTGGGGGTCAGCAGCGGCTGAGGGATAGAGAGGATGTGAGTGTGTACATGGTGGACTACTACTCGGCTATTTTAAAAATGTAAACTTGCCATGTGTGACAACATGGCCGGAATAGGAAGGGTTTAGGCCAGTGAAATAAATCAAAAGGAGAAAGATAAATACCGAATAATTTCACTCACATGTGGCTATAAAGAAAAACCAAGCGAACAGACAAAGCAAAACAAAAGCAAAGGCTGGGGTTCTCACAACAGATGTGAGATTATGAGAGGGGCGG